CAGCTCTTCCAGTTGCATCTCTTCCCTCTCTTACGTGATGGCCCAAGTCCTGCTTCTCCAAGCAAATAGAGACTTTCTGATGGGCAGTGTAACGTTGAGGTTAGCAACTCAGTCCCTGGATCTCACTTTAGGTCACTGCATAGTGAGGCCATGGGCCATTTCCAGGACTCAGCTTTTCTCTCTAAAATGAGACAGGCAACAGCATTCATTTCACAGGGTCATTTTGATGATTTGAAGTGCCTTGACGTGGAGTAAGAGGTCAGCAAATTTACTTCACATGATATCCTGTAGCTCCATACTTGTTTTTGTCTCTCCTCCCCAGCTCTCTGAGAGCCGTACATTCAGTTACTGCTTGTGTTGTGCTTGACCCTTAACCAGGCAGATTCAGACGACACAAAATGTCAACGACACAAAATGTAACACCCTGAAAATGGCAACCCTGTCTTTTAGGAATTTGTTTCACTTAAATTTTTACTTAGTTATCTGAGAGACAGGTAGATAGAAGGTACGCTCCCATCCACTGGTTTATTCCTGAAACACCTGCAATGATTAGAACTGGGCTGGGCCAAAGCCAGCAGTCAAGAATGCAACCCAGGGTCTGTATTTGGGGAAACTTGAGTCAGAACCTGGAGCTGGGGATCAACCCCAGGCACTCCAGGCTGGGACACAGCCATCTTAACAGGTGTCTGAATGACCAGATTAAAACGCATTCCACCATTTGGGTTTTGTCTTTTTATTTTTATTTTTTTTTACAACCGTGTCTTAATCATCTTGGCCCACCCAAGATGACCTGGTGCAGTTATTTCAGAGTATGTAATCAATAAATTAATTGGTTGCTTAAACAACACAATTCTTGCCTTCTGGTGAGTATTTACTCTTAAACACTTGACCTTCACCTTCCTCACTTCCCCTCCCCCACCCCGCCCAAGCGGAAGGTGCACAGGTGCACAAATGGAAGCTCAGCAGTGGAAAGTCACTCGGTTGCGGTGAGCGGCTGGTGAGCTTTGTGGTTAGGCTGAAATTCAAGCCTGGGTAGTCTGAACCAGTGCCTTTTATTCTCTATGGTGTGGCTGAGAAGTTTCCAGATTGCTTTAAAGATGTAAAAAAAAAAAAAAAAACCTAAAATCAGAAATCATCAAAGGCCAATGGAAGAGAAACCTTCCAAGAAACAAGCAGGCCCTGATGAGGTGGCGGCCAACAGCCCAGGAGCACCAACCACACACAGTTCTGCCCCTCCTGCTCCACAGCACCCACCCACGTTCCCCAGAATAAATTGGCCGGAAATCGGTCTCCCTGCAGAAGCGCAGCGTAGACGTGTGGAAAGATTGATAGGCTATGCCGAGAGCTCGTGGAATAGCTTTTCTGCAGCTACCTCGTCCATCTTGTGTGGACACAGCCTGGTGTAACTGCCTGGAAATTGTCACTTCCCAGCAGGACCTACCCGGGGCTTTTGAGTCTGCAGAATCTTAAGGCACAAAGGAACTCACCGCATGTGATTGTCTCCAATCACAATATCCCACGTTTTCCGGCTTCCCACCTAAACATCTCTTCGCAGGAGTTGTGTATTTCCGTTTCAGCCAGGGCGGGGGTTACAAGTAAGGATTTTTCTCTACCACAGTCTCTCATCACCCTTGGTTTTTCTCTTGTTTCTGCTCCTACCGGTTCTGGCTGATGAAATCGATCTTGGCTGTTCTCTAGTTAGAGGGGAGTGTGGCCGAGCGTGGACTGCAATGAGGCTGATGAAGGAATCTTGGAAGGGAGTGATTGGAGGCTTGCACACACCTGAAGTGTTCACTGTTGACCTCACGTTCCAGCCAGGCAGGCTGATGCAGTTAAGATGTAAAGAGACCAGTTCTTCACAGATTCCTTCCAGGGTGGGGAGTATAAGGCTGAGAAATCATTTGTTCTGGCCCTGGCAATCACAGATGGGACTAGAAATTCAATATATCGCCAGCAGGTGACTTTTTCTTTTTTTAAAGATTTATTTATTTATTTGAAAGAGTTACACAGAGAAAGGAGAGGCAGAGAGAGAGAGAGAGAGAGAGAGAGGTCTCCCATCCACTGGTTCACTCCCCAGACGGCCACAACAGCTGGAGCTGAGCCAATCCAAAGCCAGGAGCCACCCACACGGATGCAGGGGCCCAAGCACTTGGGCCATCTTCTACTGCTTTCCCAGGCCATAGCAGAGAGTTGGATCCGAAGTGGAGCAGCTGGGACTTGAACCGGTGTCCATATGGGATGCCAGTGCTGCAGATGACAACTTTACCCACTACAACACAGTGAGCAGGCAACTTTTTAAGCTGATACTTTTGTATGGTCCATAAATGAATTTCCAAATGGCCCTCGTAGAGAAAATGTTCCCCAGCCCAAATAAGAAATTCACTGTATCCACTTTCTGAGTTCACCAATTTCACCTCTTTAAATAAAATCATTAAAAGTGTTCTCTCTGTCTACAAATGAAGACACTTGGATTGAACCTAGTTGTGATTCAGGTTTCAGGGTTTTGGCACGAGTTCAGTCTCATTAGGCCATCTGATGTTCGCTGCTGCTCTCACACTCCAGCCCGCCATTTCCCAAGCAGTATCTCCGTCATTTCGGAATCACGTGGCAAAGCCCTCGGCGACTGCCCTCAGGAGCGTTCTATGTCCTCATGACTGTCACTCTTCAAGTCTAGAATGTTCCAGAAACTCTTGGTTAAGTACAGCCACTGGACTTTTAAAGTCTTCAGTCACTCATCTCTCTCTCGTTAAGCTTTTGATAGTTTACATACTTACAGCTCTTTTCTGGTTGTGTATCACAAATACCTTTCTAAAAAGTTTTCTTCAAAGTCTTTAAAATTTATCATAAAGAATATTTAGTATACTTACTGAATGAAAATATCTAAACAGTATTTCTATAAAATGTCCGTCTTGTCTGTATTAACTTAGAAGTACATCTAGCTAAAAATTATTCTGATCTTTTATACATATTAAATATAACTTCAAAAGTCTGATATTCTAGAAAACTTTAAAGTATAAAATGAATCAAATCTTCGGTAAGGAATTGTGTTTTCAAGGTTGAGCACAAAAAAGGGAGTAAATACACATTGCAGAGGGTAAGGCGAAGACATGGCTCCCTGAGAGCACTCCCATCAGCACATGCTTCTTCATTGGGTTCAAGTCTAAAGTTCACCTACGTAGTTATTTTTCTAGAAGATGTTTGGAATCAGTTTAATTTTCGAAATTAAGGCTATTTAATCATTTTGTATGAACCTATATATATATATATATATATATAGACAGGCAGAGTTAGACAGTGAGAGAGAGAGACAGAGAGAAAGGTCTTCCTTTGCCGTTGGTTCACCCTCCAATGGCCGCTGCGGCCGGTGCATCGCACTGATCCGAAGCCAGGAGCTGGGTGCTTCTCCTGGTCTCCCATGAGGGTGCAGGGCCCAAGCACTTGGGCCATCCTCCACTGCACTCCCAGGCCACAACAGAGAGCTGGACTGGAAGAGGAGCAACCGGGACAGAATCCGGTGCCCCAACCGGGACTAGAACCCGGGGTGCCGGCGCCATAGGTGGAGGATTAGCCTATTGAGCTGCAGCACCGGCTCATGTCAGCATTTTCAAATCTGTTTTGATACAGAAAATATTTAAAGTGGATTACAAAGATATATAGTTTTAACAAGTTAAAGCTAAATGACAAGCAGGTCTAGGGGTAGGCATAGAAGTTCAGCAAGGATAAGCTAGGGATAAGCTTCAAATTCAAAATCCCTCCATGAAAATGCTGTGCATTTGTTAAAGATGGATGCAAATCTGAGCCTCAGCCCTCCAGCAGCAGGTGCAGAGGGAAATGGATGTGTTTTCTACAAGGATCCGCTGGCTAACAGCACAGAGCCCTTTCTCAAGGGGGCCAGAGACCGGGGGTTTGTCTTTGGGAGCTTCAGAGAGATGGCAAAACATATCAAATAAATAAATAAAATATTAAAAAAAGAAAAGAAAGTGCCTTTTTTGCCCACTGGGCAAATGATATCCTATTTAGTAAATAGTATTGGGAAAATTATAATCTTGGCAAGGGAAGACCCTTTGTATGTATAATAGAAAGACTAGAAGACATAAGTAACTACATATGATAAGGGTAACTGCATAAACCTGTAAGCTCCTGACAGCAAAATACAGTAAGCAAACTTACAGATTGGGAGAAGGAAACGTGCCGTGCATGTAACATTAACTATCCTTCACAAGCAAAGATCTCCTATAAATCATTAAGAAAAAGTCCACTTGGAAAATGCACAGATACTTGGAACAATCCCCAGATCGCTGAGGCTAAGCCCTTCATCCCAGTGCACGTCATACACGAGTCCACACTGCCTTGCAGGCCCCAGGGCTGATAGAAGCCCTCACCTCACCGCAGCACGCTCTGGAATTCAGGACCACGGTCTTTTATGTATTTATTTATTTTACAGGTAGAGTTATAGACACACAAAGAGAGAGAGACAGAGAGAGACAGAGACAGAGACAGAGACAGAGAAAGGTCTTCCTTCTGTTGGTTCACTCCCCAAATGGCCACTGTGGCCGGCGCACTGCACTGATCTGAAGCCAGGAGCCAGGTGCAGGGCCCAAGCACTAGGCCATCCTCCACTGCACTCCCGGGCCACAGCAGAGAGCTGGACTGGACGAGGAGCAACCGGGACTAGAACCCAGCACCCATATGGGATGCCAGCGCCGCCATAGGCAGAGGATTAACCAAATGAGGCACGGCGTCGGCCCTGGACCACGGTCTTAACCGGAGCAGGGGCAGGTGCTGGCCGAGCAGTCTCTGACAGGACACGGCAGATTTCAAATTGGGTGAGCTCCTTGCCCGGGAAGTAGCACTGTCATCCGTGAAAAGCACTAGAAGCCCAAACTGATAGACAAAATCATGTGGGTAGGGACCTTTCCTTTTCTCACTGAGACGCAGTTCTTACAACGAGTGACTTGTTGCTCCGCAAGATGCCATCATGGTGTGCTCTTTTCTTACAGAGCAGGAACCGGAGATGGAGGCGGAAGGCAGAGGGCTGCAGGACGTGGTGCACTTCCCTTTGGAACCTTCCCAGGCAAGGCTGTGACCCACCTGCTGTTTGTTTTTAAGCTCAGCTGCACACTACAGGTAAGATACATGGACTCCAGGCTATATAGAAAGGACACTTGGTACATTCTTACAGGATACAATAGTATCACATCACTCAGGGTTTAATAGTTAAAAGTCCTATTCTTTTTTTAAAAACTACTTGAGTATTATATAGATCACTAGCAAAAGCCTTGTTAAGAGTTATAATTTTGTGTCCAGGAATATGATTACTTTAAAAATGCAAGTCACCTTCACTTGAAGAGATAACCATCAAAATGTCAGGTCTGAATATATTAATATAATGACTTCAAATAACGCTCTTGCGGAAACCCCCACAGTACAAGAAACTGTATGATCTGCCAATAAATAAACCACAAACCACACATTTTAAAAAACTTTGTTGAAAAAGGTAAAGAAATTTTATTATGGTGCTTTTGCTAACAAAGTCAATAAACCTTTATTATTGAGAAATAACAACAATGCTAGAAAGCCCAGGCTTTTGAAGCAGAGATGAAAATAAGTTCTGCCTCTCTCTTAAGCTGTGTGACTTTGAGGAAATTACTCAACCTCCCTGTTTCTTAGTTTGCTCTTACGGGAAGTGGGGCTAAATAACAATAGTACATAATATACTATGTGCTGGATGCTGTTCTGTGCAGTTTTAACTCTTCCATTAACCCTATGATGTAATCCACACTTAACAAGTGAGAAAGCCAAGGCTCAGAGAGGCTGGTTAATCTAGCCAAGATCACTCAGCTAGTAAGTGGCACGGTTTTATATTTGAACCTAGTTTGGCCTCTGAGCCTATCCTCCCAAACTGTAAGTCTCATTGAGCTGCTGGGAGGATGAAATGAATGACAGCTGAGGCGGATATGTAAGTGTGTGTGTGTGTGTGTGTGTCTCCATAGTCACATCATATTGTATCCCTTAGTCCCCATGTGTCTGTGTCTTCCTTTAGATCCCCAGGTTGAGCCAGGTAGTAAATATTTTAGGCTTTGTGGGTCACATGGTCTCTGTTGCAGCTGCTCCACCCTGCTATCACAGCAAAAAAGCAGCCATAGATTATCCCTGGACAATAAAACTGTCTTCACTGACACAGGTGGGGAAGCAGATTTGGCTCATGAGCCCTAGTTTGCCAGCCCTGCTTTAGAGGATGAGCATTTCGTGGGCATGGAAATTGGAAGGGCTTAGTCCCTAGGCGTCTTAATTAACGGGAGACTCCTGCCCATGGTATGTTGTCTTCCTTGGTTTCTCTGGGTTGAAAGAGGGATCTGTCTCGTCGATATTAATCTAGTGAGTGCCAACACAGGTGTCTTATTTTTAGTGCGGGTGAGGATGCATTTGACCTAACTACAAAGGAAAATAAAATGCTTTTTTCTGTTCTTCTGTCCTGAACTGTGAAGGATCAGAGATTTTACTCTCTCTGCAAGCCACTTTTATGTTGGCTGGAGACACCTGGTCAGACAAAGGACTGTATTACTCATAGTGCAGCAAGCATCATTATGCTGCCTCTTTATGTCAATTTTCCTTGTTCTCAAGTCTAATATATGTGAAATTTGTACTTATTCTCAAGTCTCTTGAGGGAAGTGTGGATTGAGCTAGATGGACATCTTCAAATCTAAGCATAAGAACCCCCTTCCAGGGCCAGCACCGCGGCTCACTAGGCTAATCCTCCGCCTTGTGGTGCCGGCACACCAAGTTCTAGTCCCGGTCGGGGCGCCGGATTCTGTCCCGGTTGCCCCTCTTCCAGGCCAGCTCTCTGCTGTGGCCCAGGAAGGCTGTGGAGGATGGTCCAAGTCCTTGGGCCCTGCACCCCATGGGAGACCAGGAGAAGCACCTGGCTCCTGCCATCGGATCAGCACGGTGCGCCAGCCACAGCGCGCCAGCTGCAGCGGCCATTGGAGGGTGAACCGAGGGTGAACCAACGAGAAAGGAAGACCTTTCTCTCTGTCTCTCTCTCTCACTGTCCACTCTGCCTGTCAAAAAAAAAAAAAAAAAACAAAACCTTCCAATCATCTATAATGGACAGGAAGGGAGACAATATCTGAACTTCCAAGACTGTTCGCTGATGCCCTTGAAACAATAGTCTGGGACGAAGGACAGGAAGGAAGGTGTGCAGAGACAAAGGGAGACCCATGGAGAAGTGGTTCCCCGTAGCTTCATCAGTGTACAAGGCTTTATGGAATTCCTCAACTACAAAATACAGGTGATTGATTTATGTGAAGTTTTCCGAGTCGATTTCTCTGTAAGAGTCAAATGTTACATATATATATATATATTACATATATATATACACATATATTTTAATTACATAAGCAAGGTCACAGCAGATCAGCTCAATGACTCATAAGGCCAATTCTTTCTCTGGTAGCACCAGAGGAGTATTTGAGAGCACGAATGGCGGTTACCCTCAATATCACCCTGCTGTATCATCTGCCAAATCTTTTATCTAAAAGTTCAAGTCCAGATCCAGACCAGACCTTGCCTTCTTCACTAAGCCTCCCCAGCTGCCCTTTGTTCCACTGATGGCCCTGTACATCAGTGTCTGGAGCACTCATTTTGGCATTTTCCCGCATGTCTATAGCCTCACAGTGCTGTTTGCTTAATATACCTGTAGCTCAGGTAGTGGCAGAAAGCGTAATGTGGGCCTTGGAGTCACAGGACTTGGATGTGAGTACCATTTCTGCCGGTCGTGGCTGTGGGATTTTTAGCAAATGTCTTGGTTTCCTCATGTCTACAATGGGGATGGGATAATAGTCATCACTTCACAAGGCATTCCTGCTCTCAGAAGTAAATTAAATAGTGCATATATGCTGTCAAAATCAAAATGAGATCAAGTTAGAATTTTAAGAGTTTCTTGTTCATACAAAAAAGAAAAATAACTTATAAACTGGAAAACTTTAAACAATATATCCTCAATTTTATAGTAGTTCCAGCACAAATTTTGATTTTTTCTTTAAAAGCCAGAGTTGTCTAAGCTAATTTACCTGTAGCTGTTTGTTTTCGTCTCACTGAATTAATGCTAACAAAGATCCAGCGCCTGGGGTGGGCGTTTGACCGAGTGGTTCAGATGCCGCGTGGGCCGCCTGCATCCGCATCACAGTGCCTGATTTGTGCCTCGACTTCTCAGATGGAGCTTCCTTCTACTGCACAGCCTGGGAGGCGCAGATTACAGCGCAAGAACCTGCGTCCTTGCCACCCACACAGGATACCTGGATGGAGCTCCAGGCTCCTGGACGTCGCCTGGCCCAGCCTGATGGTTGTAGGCATCTGGGGAGTGAACCAGATAGAAGGTCTCTTTCTTCCTCAATGTTGTGCCCTCTGTGTCTCTGTGCCTTAAAGTGAAAACAAATAAATATTTTAAAAAATTCTTCACCTTGGCCAAAATGTCATCAACCTTAAGAAATGCCCCTTAGGCTCCCCCTGTGAACTTCTTGTAACTTCTAGTTTTAGCAAAGGACCTGTTTAGTGAGAACCCACCACCCTTGATCAATACCTGATCACCTCAATATCTGGTCAGATTTCTCATCCCATCCTCACACCGGCCTGCCTTCACACTGGTCGGCTTGGACAGAATCCCCAAACCTCTGATGTTCCCTCTTAGTAATTTTCCATCCACTCATCCTCTCCTTGTCATAATTCCCGCTTGCCCACGCTATGTTCAGAGTTGAGCCCAATCTCTCTGCCCCGCGGCATGACCCCATGGCAGTGACCCCTCACCTTTACAATGGTCCTGGGTAAAGTCTTCCTTCCTGGGTTTTAGTAAGGGTCATGGAACAATTGTTCTCTATAGCAGTATTGACAATGACAAAAGTTTACATTTGTGTTTCGTTCAGGGCTAGTCCTTTTGGGAAATCAGGATTATTTAAGTGTTGGCTGTGTGGCCCTAGGCAATTGGCTTATGAGTATATATATGAAAGGCCTTCAAAAAGTTCATGGAAAATGAGTATTACAAAAGCACTGTGCAGCTTTCAAAAAAAATTTTTTTTGCACCAAAGTAAATTTACCTTTTAATTCTATGATTTTCATGAACTTTTTGAAGTGTCTGGAATCTGAACTGTGGCCTCCATTTTTAATTTTATTTTTATTTTTAACAGTAATAAGCATTTGACAACTATTTGCTGTTATGCTTTGATCTCCCCCGATGTGGTGGAAAGCTCTTTCAGGTCTGGCGTATACCTTATTGTCAAAGTCATCTTGACGCTTGTTGATGGTCTTTATGCCTTAAGCTAACTGATTTTAAAGACTTAAAATGGGATTTTAGTTTTCACTTCAACTTGGATGCTTTTAAAAGTTGTTGGGTGGTAAAGAACATCCCTCTCGTTTCTGATGAGTGCTGATTTCCTTTTGCCTTTCTGTGTGGGGACACCATGATTGCACAGCTCCATTTGAACTCGTGCAGCAGGAAATGAAAGTGCAAACATCCTCAGTGTCTTTGAAGCCCATGTCCTAAGTCTTTCTTCGTTATGTATGTGTCCATTCCTTCATCACCAACGCCTCCTCTGCCACAGGGTGGTATAGCCTGTGTGTGGCTGCCTTGCTAAGAAAGGAGACAGCAGGACTATCCATCCATGCTTCAGTATTGCTGCTCGGTGGAAGGCGCCTGTGTGTGATCTGCAATGACTCACGTTGCATAACTGCTTGTTAAAGCACTATTTTTGCCATCAGGACTGCTTAGATTCTTAATAAACCTATTATCAATGCACACATTTTCAAATCAGTTAAGATCTTTGCACCAACCAGAGCCTGGAAATGAGCAGGCCCTTGTTCACAAGTGCCCAGGGAGCAGCATCTGCTGAAGGTATCTGTCCGTCATGGATGTTGAGTCTCGGAGCCATGAGCTAGAGTCATCAGTTTCCGTTTCTAGTTCCTGGGTCTCAGCCCCCAGATCCTGCAGACAGGCAGACTCTGATTATCTTGAGAAAGTCCCAGTTTGTTTCATGCAAGAGCAGCTGACACACAAATGGAATCAGGCACTTTTAAGCAGTCATTAATCCTGCTGATGAGAACAGCTGAAACAAACAGTGCTCTCTAAGTACTTA